GGTTAGTTTTCAGGAAAGGCTTGATATAAAAGCAAGACAGACCCGCCCTACTCTCTCTGGTTGCTATCCTTACCATGGGCTGAAGTTTGGAATTTGAGGATCCCCAAAGGTCTGTCTCCAGTCTGATGGTACCAGGAAGCTGTGAACACCCAGCTCCCCTCCTTCCTGGCTGCCACAAGGTAAGCAGCTTTACTCTGACTACTGTGCCATGAGCCCAGCACAGGCCCAAAATCAGCAGGCCCAACCCACCATGTGTGGCACCTTCTGAAACAATGATCTAAAATAAATTTTCCCTGTTTTAACACTGATTTTCTTGGATGTTTTGTTACAGTAGCAGAAAACTGACATATCCAGTGTGTTCTTCTTCTCACGGGCACTCCACCGTCATGCCATCCATCACAGCACCCAACCCTTGGTCATCAACAGAAGCTGAACTGATGAAGTCACCCATGGGTTGGGGTTTTAGCCTCCAAACTGTAAGCTAAATAAACCCCTTTCTTAATATGTTATTCAGTCTCGGGTGTTTTGTGATCACAATGGAAAAGAGACTGCTACAGTGGAGAATTGTTCAGGACCAACAGTTAGGGATACATTCATTGTGAAAATGTGATGACAAAGAGCATTGTGAATGTATATACAGGAAACATTCTCATTTATATTTTATTATATGGAATTTAGGAAAATTTTATTAGCTTGGCATAAGCTTATGTTTCTCAATCTTAAAAGTTTACTAATGATATATAGAGACAAAATGTACAAATGCGAATGAACTGCCAACTTTAACACATTATGTGTCCATGGCTAATTGTGACTTAATATGTTCTGATGAAAAGTAATCCAAGAACTGGGCATGGTGTCTCACACATGTAATCTCAGCTCTTGGGAGGCAGAGGCAGGAAGATCACTGCCTATTTGAGGCCAACCTGGCCTACAAAGTGAGTTCTAGGTCAGCCTGAACTACATAATGAAACCCTGCCGCAAAAAGACAACAGAGAAAGAAAAATAGGTAGAAAGAAAATCCAAGATCTTATAAGGTTATTTAGCTTTTGCCATTTTTTAAATTTTAAAAGTCTTCTTCTCACTTGCCTATCAGGGTGGCTAGAAAAGAAAGCCAGACAGCAGTAAGTGCTGGCAATGACGCAGAGAAACCAGACTCCTTGTGCACTGTTGGGGAACAGATGGCATAGCCACTGGGGACAGTGTCCTCAGAAGTTAACTGTGAATTCGTGTGACCAGTCATCCACTAGTTAAATACCCAAGAAAATGAAAACACACATCCACACAAAAGCTTATGCACGCACATTCATAAAGCACCATTCATAGTAGCTCAGAAGTGGAAATGGTCCAAAGATCCACCCACTAATGGCTGGATAAGCAAACTGTGGCCCATCCACACAATGGAACAGCACTTGGCCACACTGCATAGCATCCGTGGGGGCTGAAATTTTTGCAGTATGGGGCTTGAATCCAGAGGCACTATCCTGCTGATCTACACTCCCAGGTGCCTCGCTGGTAGCTGGAACTGCAGGTGTGCACCACATCTGGCAGTGAGGCCTGAATCCTGAGAGCATCATGCTAAGTGGCAGAAGCCAGACACAAAAGACCACACATTGTGTGACCCTGTTTATATGAAATGTCCAGAAGAGCAAATCTGCAGAAAAAGGAGACTGCTGTTGTGACAGCCTGGGGACCAGGTAGGGGATCTGGCAGGGATGGGGTACAAGATTGCTTCTCAGGGTGTGGGAAAGATTCTCAGAGTGATTATAGTGAGAATAGCCTGAGGCTGAACAAACTCAACAGCACCAAGCAGTACATGTTAGGGGGTAAACTGTGTGGTGTAGGAACCATATATCTTGAAAAGCTGTTAAAAATAAACTCTTTTTTGGCTTCGCAGGTGGGAAGCACACACGTAGGTATTTAACTTATTACAACCCTGAGTCCACTGTATTTACAGATCTGTACTACTGTGTAACCATCAGATTAAAATTTGTTTTCATGCTGACCTTTCAGGGGGAATTTGAAACAAAACATTGAACCAGCTTCAACAAATTTGGAAGTTCTCTGTCTTTCAACCTTCCGCATGATTTTATAATTTCTAGGGAGGTCCCAGGCATTAACTAATGATAGAATATTTGGAAAAGAACCCGAATTTCCTATTTGCTTTTCCTTCTTCCTTTCTTCTTGGTTGTTGATTGGTTTTGCCTGTTTTTTGTTTATTTTGTTTTGTTTTGGAAACAGGCTCTACTTCTTTAGGTCAGACCAGCTTTGAACCCACAGCAATCTTCCCCCTCAGCTTCTGAAGGCAGAGATGAAAGGCTTGAGTCACCTTGCCGGGCCCACATTTTCTGAAGGAGGAGGTTTCTTGTGATTGTCTCCAAGCACTAGACTACATATAGTGACTTTCTACTGCAAGCCCTGTCTCAGCCCTCCAGCTTGGGAGCCCCATGTCTACAAGCCTGTGGCTCTGTGGACCCTGGTGAACACAGGGGCAGCTTGGAGAGCACTGCTCCAGTGCCTCAGAAACACAGCCCTTGTGGCTTTGGCGCTGCACCTGCCCAAGGAGTTCCATGCTGTGCTCAGCCATCTCCCAAGTGATGATGGCAGGAAGGGCTGGATCCCTCAGAACGGGGTAAATCAGGACACAGCACTGACTACAGTCAGGGGTGAGGTCCTCTTGTGGCTCCCCTAAGTCTGCACGCAATTATTCCTTATCTCGTATTACCCTCCTACCCACTCCCTTCTTTCTCTGCTCTGCTTGGCCCTGGTCCTGTTGCAGGGCTGTTTGCATGGCTTGTGGTCCTATCTGGGGCCCCCTTTTTCTGCCTCCAGCTTTCTGTCCCAATTCCTATTAGTTCCTCCATCCCAGGAACAGTTCTGTCACTAAACTCCTCCAGCTACACATGGGAGTCTCCAAGATCCCGATTCCACCCACCCACACACTCACATACTCAGGAAGTTTTAGGGTGGAGATGCAGCTCCCCAAAGTGATGAAATCAATGATTTTATGGAAAAGGCAAACCTTATCTGACTTGGAAAAATTGAAAACAATGTGACATCTCTTGTACCTCAGTACTTCAGAGCAAACTCGCCCTTGTTGGAGTTCCTGTGCACAGCAGGGCCCTGCTGTGGTCGGAATGCCTCTGAGAATAGTTGGGGGAGACAGGGCCTGAGGGAGGGTGTTTAGGTCCTAGGTCCTACCCTTGTGACAGAGTAATGCCAGGGGTAAAGAGCTCGAGGCTGAAAGTGTAATAATTCATCTTTCTCTCTCTCTCTCTCTCTCTCTCTCTCTCTCTCTCTCTCTCTCTCTCTCTCTCTCCAGATCATCCTCTTCACCTTGGACTTCTCAATCTTGAGAACCATGACACAAATGAACTTGTATTGTTTATAAATTTTCTGGTCTCTAGTATTCTGTTACAGTGACAGAAAATCAACGAAGACAGGCCCTTTTCACTGCACACTTAGGGTCCTCTATTGTCTATTTTGCAAGGTAACTTTAGATGCATAAAACCACTTATCACCTTCATTAAAGCACTTTCCTTGCTCTTGGGCTTGGGGACAGGGACTGGTGAGGATCTGCACCCACCTCCTGATACAGTTCTGAGGTTTTCCTTTAATCCACAAGTCTGGGCTGTTTTCTTTTCTTTTCTTTTCTTTTCTTTTTGGTCTTTTTTCTTTTTTTTTTTTTTTAATCTGTACCAGGAATCAAACTCATGACCTCCTGCTTGCAAGGCAGGTGCTTATGCCACTGAGCTAAATCCCCAGCCCTGGATTTTTTTTTTTTTTTTTGGTCTTTTTCTTTTTTATCAATCTGGGCTGTTTTCAGTTCAAAGGAAAACACTGATCAGAGTTCTGTTTTATTCTGTTTTGTTTTTTCTGCGTTTTTTTTTTTGTTTGTTTGTTTCCTTTTGGTTCTTTTTGTTTTGTTTTTTGTTTTTAGACTGTGTCTCACTATGTAGTTCAGGCTGGCCTTGTACTCACTTATGTAGCCCAGGCTGACCTCAAGCTCACAGAAATCTTCCTGTCTCAGGCTTCCAAGAGTTAGGATTACAGGTGTACGCCACCACCTGGTTCAGATATATTTTTAAGGGGAGTAGAACAGCTGAATTCTGCTCCTCCTTCTTGCTAACTTGTCTTTTGATGACTTGGTATCACTTTTTCGATAAACTGGATGCTCTCCCTCTTAACTCTTACTCACAGGAATTGTGCTAAGTTAATGCACCTTGAGGGTGTGGATTTGCTGCCACAGCATGCCGGGCCTTATTACACAGCCAAGGCCACTGGCTAAGTACCGCCAGGAAAAGAGGGCTAAAACTCAGCAATTTTACAAATCATTCTTTCTGGATAAAACCTTCTTAAGTTAAATAACCAGATAAAGGAGTTAAAAACATTTAATTACTGAATTTGAGAGTACATTTTGTAAATTTCTCTAGCCAGGAGGTTTCACCAGGAAATTATATTATCTAAAATTAGATGCTTTACACTTTACTTGGATTTTTAAAAAATGTTTGTGGTGAGTGATTGGGAACACCTGTTTTAAAATGTTCCATGTTTTAAAAAAATAGAGCTGGATTCCTACTTCACACCTTAATAAATTCCAGATGGATTAAAAGTAAAAATGTACATATGATACATATAAAACTCAATATAAGTACTGGAAAAATAGGGGAAGGTTTATTTAATCTTGGGAGGTAAAGGGAGAGGCATTTCTAAACATGACAGCAAAGCTAGAAGCCATTTAAAAACCTGATGGATTGGACTATATAAAAATGAAATTTACATAGGATGTTCTCCTATATTTAAAAGTCAAAGATTGGGCGAAATTGCATACTTGTAGCCCAGCACTTGGCAGGCTGAGGCAAGACGACTGCTGCAATTTTGAGGCCAGCCTGGGCTACAAAGTGAATTCTAGGCCAGCCTAAACTGCATAGCAAAACCCTGTCTCAAAAGCACGAGAAAAAAAAAAAAAAAGAATCACGACAGAAACATAGAAAAGTATTTTGGCGCTTGCTTCAGAAGCACATATACTAAAATTGGAACAATACAGAGAAGATTAGGGTGGCCCCTGTGCAAGGATGATGTACAAATTCACGAAGTGTTCAGTATTCTCAGGCCGAGGATTTAGCTCAGCAGCATAAGCACCCACTTTGCAAGCGTGAGGTTGTGAATTTGATCTCCTTTACCAAAACAAAACAGAAAAAAAAAAAAAAAAACAGCATTCTGACACGTGAGAAGCAAACAGATAATATTCCTAATATATGAATAACTCCTACAAATTAGTTATAAAAGGAATTCTCCAGTGGGTAAAAGGTGATGGACACTGGTATGGTTTAAGTCTAGATGGCCCCCAAAACTCCCCTGTGATTCTAGATAAGACCTTCAGAAGGCGTCTGGACTGGGGGTTTGCAGCTGCCAGCTGTGGGCATGACCCTGTGGAGGGTGGTCTCGGTGGGCGTGGTCTGGAGCTGGGGGCGTGACTTGGAGGCTCCTAGCTCCTCCCTGCTCGGTCTACCTTCTGTTCACCAGGCCTGGAGCAGCTGTCCCGTGCCAGGCTGTGCCCTGCCCTTCTAGCTGGCCAACTCTGGCCTGGAACGTGAGCCAGAGTAAACCTCTCCTCCTCAGAGTTGTAGGCGGCGGGAATTTTTGTCACAGCAAGGAGGAAAGTGACTAAGACATATAAAGTCGTAAATGATCAAGATTTGCAAATGGCCAGTGGCCTCATGAGTGGATATTCTGGCTTACTGGTTGCCAAGGGAAGAAGAAAAGAAAGGAAATCACAGAGCGTCACCACCCCGGCCTCCGTGAGGCTCGGGGCGTCTTTCTCACCTGCTAGATTAGCAGAGGCGGAAGGATCGCACTGGCAGTGCTGATGAGGCTGGGGGGAAGGGGACCTTTACCGTGTGGGGCGCATCCTGTTACCACAGTCAGCACCCACGGACAGGCACCTTCAGCCAGGTGAGGCTCCCATTACCCCCCATTACGCTGAGGGAGGCGTGGCTCTTTCCTCTCTACCCTCACCTAAACACTCGGGGAAGCACAGCAGGGATAGCAGGGTTCCCACACCGGGCCACTCTTTGGGCAGCGCCTGTTTCTCTGTGGCCAGGGAAGCTCAGTTTCCTCTCCTGGCTCCCAGTAACGTCTGCAGCCATTGACCTCTCAGGGACTGACATTCAGGAAAGAAGAAAACCATAGTCCATGTCAAGTCCCATAGACATCAGAGATCACATTCTCTGAGCGCAATGTAATAAAATTAAAAATCCATACTAAAGAGTACCCATGAAAGCCAGGCGTGGTGGCGCACTCTTGTAATCCCAGCACTTGGGAGGCTGAGGCAGGAGGATTGTTGCAAGTTCGAGACCAGCAGGGCTACAAAGTGAGCTGAAGGCCAGCCTGAACTGCATAGCAAGACCCTGTTTCAAAAAGACAAAAACAAAACAAAACCAAAAAGCTACTAGTCCCGGCGCTAGGGATTTAACTCAGTGGTTTAAATGCCTGCCAGTGTAAGTGCAAGGTCATGAATTGGATCCCCAGTATCCCCCACCCCATCCCCCCAAAATACTAGTGACTATGCATAAAAAATACTTTTAAAAAAAAGTATACATGAAAACAAAACTAATTAAAATCACAGTAAATACTATAAAAGCTTATAAAGTGATCATTACACTGACACGGGTAAGCAGCTGTTCTATAAAGGCTCTCGGGCAGGGGCAGAGGAAACGCCTACCCTTCTTTGGAGCATGCGCAGTCAGGGTCAGCCGCTACTCCGCAGACACGGCCACGTTCCTCGGCACTGAGTAGCTCTTGGATCCCGGAAACACACACGGGTGGGTGAGAGCGATCATCCTCGCCACCTTCGTATGGGATGTGGTGGGTGATCATGGGCCTTGAAGAGCAGATCTTTGTTCACCATTTGCCACAGAACATTCCAGACAGGTTGAAGTTAAACACACACATGCATGACACTCACACAACCACTTAAAAAGACACCAAGAGAACTGCAGAAGTGCGTGCTCACCCGCCCACCAAGACGCAGAGGTTTCAGGGCAGATGCCCACTGAGTCCGAGCCCCAGTGTTCCGAGCTCAGTTCCCCATCTACACCACGCTGGCTGAAATGCCCAGGACACCTGTACTGCCAGCATTCGGGAGGGAAGGGAGAGGGAAAAGGGAGAGAAGGAGGAGAGGGGGGCGAAAAAAGAGGAAAGGGAGGAAAAGAAGAAACTATGTATTCAGAAATGTTTTTACAGGACACTAAACCCACATCCTGACAGTGAGCTATTACCTTGCCAACCGTGCAGTTCCATGGAAAAGATGACATAAAATAATGCTAAATGAAAAGGCCGGTGGTTATAATGTGCACTTCAATTACAGCCAGGCATACAAATTGCTGGGAGGGCCTGAAAGCCTCGGAAAGCACAGGCAGGTAGGGTCACCGAGGTGTTGGTATAGCATTTGTGTATTTTGCTGTCAGTCTGGCATGTCTATCATGCACCCTAACATTGAGTTAGTATTTTTTACACATCCCCCAAAAAAGACTGACTTTTTTTTTCTTTTGGTCGTTTTTGAGACAAGGTTTCACTATTTGGTTCAGGCTGGCCTTGAATTCACTTTGTAGCCCAGGCTGGCCTGGGACTCAAGGCAATCCTCCAGCCTCAGCCTCCCGAGTGCTGGGATTACAGGCGTGTGCCACCACACAAACTAAAAGGCTGATTTTTAAAAGCAGTCATCATTTGGCCCACACCAGCGTGACCTTTCTCAGGTCCTCTCAGGGTCAGAGTCCCTGGACTCAGCCTGGGGCTTCCAAGTGGGAGAGGTGTGTGTGGTACAGGGTGCTGGGACAGCAGGAGCAGCTGCCTGGCTCCTGGCTTGGGGAGGCCTGGACAGTGTTCTCTTCATGAGCTCATGGGAAAGGCCCAGACCGCCAGGTCTCCTTCCTCGTCACTGCTCAGCTCTATGCTCGTGCCCATGAGCTCATCGCTGCTGGGCAAGTCCCCTTGGACCAGATCACTGCCAGGGGAAGCTCCTTTCCCAGCCTCTTGCCTCTGCCCTGGGCCCCAGAGACATGGGGCTGCCCTGATTCCCGCTCTGAGTTCCCCCGGAATTAAGAATTGTGGGATCCAAACCTCCCCCCAGGGCTTGCACAGGCCTGACCCCAAGACCGCCAGTTTAGGCTGGAGGCTGCTCAGCCACTAGGACCAGGTGGACCCCAGCTGAACTCAGGCCCTGCCCATACCTGAGCTCCTTCTCGTCCCAGACTCTGCAGCAGCCCTGAGCCCAGAGATCATTCCAGGTGTTGGGTAGGGGACGGAGGATGGTGAGCTGTGAGTCCACACACGCCTTGCAAACCACCAAGGAGTAAATAGACAGCCCTGCAGGAAAGCCCATGGTCAGGGCTGGAGTCTGAGAGCCCCCAAGAGTGCTGGGAGTCCAGGGCATCCCACAGATGTGTTCGCAAGGCCTCTGCCTTGCTCTGCCCTGTAGTGACTATAGTTACCCTGCTCTATCCTCTGGCCTGAGACCTAGTAATGCGTGTGGGCCACCGGAGAGCTGGCTTTCCCAAAAAGCACTGCGGTCCCCACACCTTAGGGCCATAGCACTCCCAGCCCACCTGGCCCCATCCTGTCCAAACCTCCCCAAAACTTAATAGGAAAGAATGGGAAGGAGGGCCAGTAAAGCCCCAGAGCAGTGGCCACTGACAGACGTAACAAAGGCTCAGAACTTTGAGTGCCCCTCCCCCCAAAACATCACAGCCATGAAGTGGTGTCCAACTTGCTGCCAAGCTGCACACATTCCCACGGGAGCCACTCGTGCAGGGCACAGACAGCTGTGCTCTGAGCAGATGTTCTCACAAGGATGCAGGGCTATGTGGCCCGGCGCTATCCCATGACCCACTGGGTGGCAGCCAGCCTGTACACTCAGCCTGGGCAGCCTGTAGAGCTGGGTCGCTGCTGAGGGCAGACCTGGAGCCCAGGTGGTTGGCTGTGCCAGGCCTGCGGGCTAGAACAGCCTCTGTCCCTGCCGTGCAGTTAGTCTCTGCTTTCCCTCAGCACCCACAGTTTGGTAAGTGGTGTGGGGAGCCGGGCTCCTGAGGTACAACACAGTACAACACCTGAGAAACATACCTGGGAGGCAGAAGGCGGCCCTGGGGGTATCAGGGCAGGGATGGATGTGCTCAGGAAGCCGGAGGCCCCTGAAGCTGTGCCTGGCCTCAGTGCTGGAGTTGGGAGACGCCTGTGGGAGCTCCTCCCTGGGTCAGCACAGCCTCAGGGCTCCTCAGAGTCACCCTCAGGCTCTGGAGAAGGTCCTGCCAGCCCTTCCATTTCAGGTCCTAGACAAGCCACCAGGCAGAAACCAAGTCCAGTGGTCCCCATCCTTCTCCAGAGGCCTCACTTCCCAAAGTACTCAGGGGGCAGCCCAGCCCCACAGCCCCGCCCCGGTGACCCTGAAGCCAAAAACAGACCGGAAACCAAGGAAACCAAGACACAGTGGCAGCTGGAGTCACAGGAGAGGGCAACCTGGGCACCGACCCTGAAGCCAGGCCCAGCTCCCTGCTCCGTATGCAGGCTGGGGTCCCCTTGACCTCCCAAGGCATCCACCTCTGGCCCCTGGATTTTCGGAGAGGTCCTCTCTGGCCTCATTGATCCCCAAGCTCAGCAGAGCCTGCTCTGCCTGAGAAACACATTTGGATCTGATGGAGTAAGAGGTGCTGAAGTTAGAAATATTTGCCTGGTTCAGTCATGTGGATGAGCATATGGTACGCGCATTTCACCTCCGCCAGCGCTCCAGGAACCGTCTAACTCAGGAAGTATCTAATTCTATAGAGGCAGTGCGAGACCTTTAATCATCCCGTCAAATAATTTAAAACATGACCATTTTTTTTTTTTAAAGAAGACAACAGAGCTTGCAGAGTCAGCCTGGACCCAGTCACTGAATGTTGTCCTCATGATTCGCTTTGCTGTTTCCAGAGTGGAACCACCTGGTCTCCCAAAGTTGCCTCCCCACATGATGTCCCCTTTGCCCAGCCATTCATCACCGAAGGAAGAAGCCAGGGTGCTCACAGATGCCCTCACTGGTGAACAGGGCTGAATCAGGGAGTTGGGGCCCCGGCAGAC